TGTGATTGGGATTCCCAGGGTACTTGAAGACTGCAGACAACTTTCAGTGCTGGCACATTTGGTGTTGGAGAAGCTGCTTGACTGTTTTAATTTAAATCTCAGCTCTCGCTACAATGAAGGAGAGGGACAGTTTTGCGATTATTAGACCTTTTGTGTTTTCTTACTCTAGCCAGAAAGCATTTGATTAAATCATGCCTGAAGTATTTTACACAGCTAAATTTTTAAAACTTTATCTCTTAATTCTGTTGTATACAATTTCTTATGTACTTAAATATTTACAAATGTCTCCTCATGTTAAACAATGGAGAAATGTAAACTTTTCTCTGGTCATGTATGACTGGAATAGTTTCTGTGTTTATAGAGAAGCACATCTGAAACATTTTCTCATCAAAGCACTTATGCCTATGAATCAAATAATAGTAACTAGTGTTTGGAGAATCTTTAACTATGGTTTCTAGAAACAAAATTTATTTCGCCAGAGAGATTAGGTATTTGTAATTAATGTCTGCCTCAACTAGGGTAAAAGGAAGAAGGCTTAGTGTGTGTCCTCATTTTGGCTGGGATAGAGTTAATTTTCTTCCTAGTAGCTGGTATAATGCTGCATTTTTGGTTTAGTGTGAGAATAGTGCTAATAATACACTGATGTTTTAGTTGTTGCTAAGTAGTGCTTACACTGGTCGAGGACTTTTCAGCTTCCCATGCTCTGCCAGGTGCACAAGAAGCGGGGAGGGGGCACAGCCAAGACAGCTATCCAAACTGGCCAAAGGGCTGTTCCATACCATATGACGTCATGCTCACCATATAAAGCTGGGGGGACGTGGCCAGGGATCAGTAATCACTGCTCGGGGAAGGGCAGGGCATCAGTCACCATGTGGTGAGCAATTGCATTGTGCATCTCTTGTTTTGTATATTCTATTATTATTATTATTTTCTCTTCCTTGCTCTGCTATTAATCTGTCTTTATCTCAACCCACAGATTTTACTTTTTTTTATTATTCCCTCCCCATCCCACTGTGGGGGCCCGGGGGAGAAGTGTCAGTAACCAGCCGCATGGTGCTTAGTTGCCCACAGTGGTTAAACCATGACAGTGTGGTATAAGTAATTAACTTGAAGAAAAGCATTATCTTGCAATGATAATCTCACTTTTGTTTTGTAGAGAGTAAGAAGTTTAACCAGTGTGGAACTTGCATCACTTTTGGAGAACACCCTGTGATAAAGAACTACACACTCTGGAAAGTTGCTGACCACGGGTCTGTCAGTGGAAGAGAAGAAATGATGGCAGAAATCTGTACTAGTGGACCAATTAGTTAAAAAAACCTTGAACAGTTGTTTATTTACTAGTAATATTGGGATTGACATATTTGAAACTCATTTGAATGACTGAAGTGTGCTTCTCCACTCCAGCATATGTTAGCAGCTCTGTACTAACATGCAGACCTTAGCTTATTTGTAGATAAATTGAGTTCTGAATTCAAAATGCAAGAAAACCAATTGTTTTTTTAGCCAGGCCTCTGCTCTGATCCCCTTGTATAAAAGTGCATTCTCTGTTTTTTTACAGCTGTGGCATAATGGCCACTGAAAAGTTGGACGCTTACATTGGAGGACTTTATACAGAGTACAACCCCTCGCCTGTGGTGAATCACATTGCATCTGTGGCTGGCTGGGGCATAGAAAATGGAACAGAATACTGGATTGTTTGTAACTCATGGGGTGAACCGTGGGTAGGGAAACACGGGAACAAGCACCTTTGCAGAATGACTTTAGAGGAAAGGTGGGGTTTTTCACTTGCAGACAGGAAACTGCAAAGCTAGCCTGTGGATAGGAAAAGTAAAACTTTCTTTAAACTAGACTAGCAATTAAAAAATGAAACCTAACTAACCTGAAGACAACGAATCTGAAGACAAGGATATTAAACCAAAGTTACTTGAGTAATGTCAACTCTATCCAAAATGCTACCTGTCCACGGACATGCAGCTCCTGTTACGGGCAAATGTAAATTACTGTTAGTTGTAGGCAAAAATCAAGTCACATACCTGGAGTAGATGAGGGGGATGTAAATTCACCAGAGCAGATTGCCCCTTTAAACAAGGTTGCCCTGTGAACCCAGTGTTATACTTCATCTTGAGTGAATTCCTAGATTTGCTTATAAATCATTCGTATCTGGAAGACAGAACAGACTCAATAGCATACATTTTCTGTAGTTATGTTTTTTAATTCACAATGCAAATTAATGCTTTACAGGGTGAAAGAGTGAAGAATTGACAGGCGCATATAAAGTTGGAAGAGGAGCAGAGTATAATCTTGCTATTGAAGAGGACTGTGCATATGGAGATGCTGTACTTCCTTGATTCTACATTGTACATCTTTCTTTTTAAAAACTACTTTGTTTGGAAGCGTCCCAGAACAACCTTCCTCTATTTAAAGAATAGTAGTCTAAAACTCTTTCACAGTTCAAGACTATCAGGCAGTTCTGCAAAATTAGCCCAGACAGCAACACACATTGTCTTCAAAGTAAAATAAATTCAGAACTGCCTTTAGATAATTATTTGCAACTGCAGGAAAAGTAATTTACCCATGAAAAAGTAGTCTGCCTTGATGCACAGTATTTAAATCATTTTGACTTAGTCACACAAACTGCATATGTAAATCTCTGTTATTTCTTTTAACTACAAATTATGTAGACATAGTGGGAAGGAAAAAGTATATTCAATATTTGGGTCTAGAACTTATATTAAATTCTCTTACAGTATTGAGCAAATATCATCCCACAATGGTGCAGATGAAAAAACAAAGCTAAGTCTGGAGATGATATATTCAAAAAATAAATCTCCTGTTGTTTCCTTGGCCTCCTGGTGAAACAGTGGTTTTGGAAGTCTTATATAATGCTGTTGCTTTTATCTTCACTAATTTGAAGAAAGGTAGCAAATTCTCTTCCTCAAAACTGAGCAAAATCAGTGCCATATCAAGTGTTACTAACTGGCATTGTTAATTGCATTTACTAAATGGACATTTTTTCTCTTACATGACTGTATGGTTATTAATACATGTTTTCAGTCCTCTTCTATTGTTGTACCTAACAAGCAGTCTCATGTGGCAGAATAGTGCCAATAAGGATCAATTCTGCCAAGCTGCAATGCCTGCTGTAACTTAAGTTCCATTGAGATAGGAACATGGTGGTTTAACAGCACTGATCATAGCATCATGGAAGTTTTAACTAGTTAAAAATCACCTACACGGATAAATACAAAGGAACTCAAGTGTTTAGAGGAAGCGATGCCAAGCTTGAACACAGAGGAAAGCAAAAGTATACTTTGTTTGAACAACTGGCAAATTTGCAATGGACACAGGAACAAACTGTTCTTGATCATCACTAAAAGATGATACAGGGCTATGTCCTAAAATGAAGCTCTATAGGGTGAATTGTTTCTGTAGTTAATTCTACCAAGAAAGGAAGTCAGGGGCTACAAAAAGCCAAACATCTATGCTAATTCTACTTAAAATATTAGGAAAAGTAGGTCTCATGCAGGTTTAAATGGTGAGAGTTAGCTGGAATGATAGTACATCTTCTATTCAAGGATATGCGAAGTTCAGAACAGCTTCTGCAGAAGCAAGTTTTGCCCTTTTCGGGCTGTGCTTTAAGTTGATTAGATCACCGTAAGTGTTATTACGGTAAGCTCAGTCACTGTGGAGTATGTAGGTGAGGGACTGGCTGAGGAAAGGGAAGATGCACTCCTGTTTAAAAGGAGTTAAGTATCTATACAATTTGCTGCTGTCTCAAAAATTATCATGGTAGTTCAGAGTTCCCATTCATGAATCACTGACAACAGAGAAGAACAATGTGATTTCCTTTCTAAATTTACATCCAGTTGGACTTAAATTGTCACTGTCTTTTAGAAAGCAGGTTCTTCAGAAAACAGATGTGCTTGGAAAAGCACAATGGGCTTGTCTATACACCTTACTTTTAAACAAACAGTATTTGCCTGTACAAGGACAACTCCAGCCCAATGAACAGAAAGAGCGGTCTTAATGAAACTTTAAAAGAAATCTCTGGAAAAGAAAAAAAAAACCAACTTTATTTAAAGGTAAATTATAATCTTGGGTGTATCCCCCACTGTTTGGCATGAACCAGTACAGAGTAGAGAGAAGTATAAAAACCAAGCCACAACAAGCAGTAATAAAATTTCTGCACACGTTCATATTTTTGGACAGCAGTAGAATTCTGACATGGTAATGAAAGTTACCAGTAACACATGATGCACCTATTTAACAAAAAAAAAAAAAAAAAAAGATTCTGAAAGATAAACACACTCACATAGGACTGATCTGTTGATACAAAACTAACCTTGATTGTTACAACTCCACTTGTGTTACGCAAAATGCTTTTTTTCGTAGCATAGGTAGGATATTTAGAATTCTAATACAATGCAAAGGCGACGAAGAGGCATTATGGCTTCTCTGCAGCACAGAGCTAATAAAAAGAAAATTCCCTTTTTTACAACTTGCAACATCAAAAACCAGAGCATTCAATATTTAGTCTTCGGAGAACTATCTGCAAAGTGTTTTTAGTAGGAAATACCTTCCCCATTCTTCAGGTTTTGTATATTACACAAAGAATCAGCGACAATTTCTGCAAGTAACCAAAATAGCATTCCTTGGAATAAATCTGTTTCTCTCCTGCTATTCCTTTCAGAATATTCAGATTTATACTGATTTGTTTAACAACAGAAAATCCTTCAGTATTATTCCATCTTGCAAAGTACATTAGCAGTCCTCTGATACGAAGCTCAAGGTCACCATGCAAGTCAATCAGATGTCCCTCAGCCCTTTCTTCCTTGTTTTGGGTTTGTTATTTTGGTTTTGGGTTGGTTTGGGGTTATTTTGCTGCTGTGTTGCCCGGTTATAGAAACTTACTGGTGGAGAGTGTGGCAAAGTAGTGATCATGTGCTCTGCATTCTTGATATTTTCTTGATATTTTCTGCATTTTTGATATTTTCCACTGCTTAGTTCATCATAATAAAGTTAGATTTGCAATGAGCTTAAAAGAAAAATAAAAGTGTTCAGTACATTACTCTCATTTATCTGTTTGCATGTGGATTTCTGCATTATGTAAATAATTAGGATTTTAGGTTCTGGACAGAAGTTTTTGTTTTAGGATAGGAATGTACTATGACAGACTACTTCCCTTGCTATCCCTTCCTTACTACAGCGCTAGTTCTCAAAAAGTAGTATTTGTCTTCAAGTTCCTCACTACTACCCAAAGATTCTTCAATAAAGGAAAATTGCTAAACACAGGCCCCTAAAAGGGAAGTTATCTGTGAAAATATTTGCCAGGCATTCCTATTTTTAGCAATCCTCCTCCTAAACATTATTTGCAATTGGTAACAAATACAAGAGGAAGAAGATACACAATGAATACATGTGACTTACCTATAAACTCAGTGGTAGGATCATGTTCGTCTTCTATTTTAATAGTACCTGCAATACTTTCATTCTGCAAGACTGGAAGAAAAAGCTGTACAAAGTAGGAGGTATATGGAGGAGCAATCACATCCAGAACCTGAAACAGCAGACAAAAATGGATTATTCTTCCAGTTAGAGGGATATTTAATTCACAATACTAATCTTGAAAGCATACAAGTAGTTGCACTTAAGACCTCTTGTTCTCCATATAAGTAATTAATTATGTATTCTTGTGGTACTCTACCCAGTACCTTAATACTTTCAGAAGTCAGGTCAGTAGGACTAAGTGACATCCTAGTGAAAACTGATATTACATACATTGCTCAAAAGCTGATCTCGTATCTTAAAATATTTTTTAATCTGAGGCAAGCTGATTTAATATTCGAACACATACAACTTACATTAAAGTTTATTTCTGTGTGTTAGTAAACACAATTTTTGCTGCTGACCTCTGTAACAAAACATCTGATGAGAGAGATACCTGTATCTCGCTTCTCCAGGCATTTGCAGATATAGCTGACAACAGGTAGGACATATCCTCGACTGAGTAAGTGCACCATTCTATCCAAGAGAGTCTTCTTCAATTCCAGCTGGTGGTGGGGGCCAGGGCGGGTGGAGGGGGAGAAGAAGAAACCAACAGATTAGAACGTCCTCTCAAAAGTGTGCAATTTTTATCGCTCATTCTTATTGAACTGGTATCTGCTATGTTAATTTCTAACCATGACCATATTCCTAAGTTAAACTCTTAAAACTCCTGCGACAGCAAAAGCTGTTATCTTCAATAAGTGTAACTAATATGAAGGAACACAAATACTGAATCTTTTGAGAATCACCTGCGCCATTACATCAAGCTGTGAATGTTCTGTTTCGAAGAGCTTGACAAGAAGTTGTAGAACTTGGAAACGAGGCAGCTGACGGCATGTACTGATCTGCAAACAAGAAAGTTAGATCCTCAGAACTTCAATTTAAAAACCAATGCACCAGTCTTTATTGGACAAGTTTACATTGATGTTCAGTGCCATATGTAAATTCTATAGAAAAGTATTCCACCATTTCTTTCTTTGATGTCTAAGTTTTCCTAGTGTAAATAATGCTGAGATGACAAAACCAGATAATTAACTCTGAATAGAAACAGATTCATCTCTGTATATTTACTGACTTACTGCAAATGCTAGGCATCCAGTGAACTGGATGTACTTCCAGTTACAAGCATCAAAAGTGGTTTTACTCTCCAGCAAGATTTTATATACGCTTTTACCTGATCCAATAATGCCAGATGAACTGGAGTGTGATCAGTCTGCAGCTGGAAGTATTGTGGTTCTGACACTGTCCAGTCCACCCACTTTAATACACCCATTGCCACCACTGGGGACCTACAGAAGAGATCACTTTAGCAGAGGAGGATTAAAAAAAAAACCCCACCAATCAAAACAAAACAAAAGTAAAAAAAAAAATTCCCAGTAAATTAAAAAAAAAAAAATCATCTTTCAGTATATTCTAATGGTTGCTACCTTCAGTTTAACTTAGGGCAGAATTAATAAAGCTCAAGAAAGCTCAAGAAGTTTTGTTTGAGAAATTGCCAGCACATCTGTGGCGGTGTGCTCCCCTTGCCCCCCTGCCCCGCCGCCCCCGACCTGACCTTTTCCCATAACCCTGCTCAAGCGCTAATCACCAGTGGCAGTCGTGATGGATACATCCAGCTCAAAGTGGATTCGGGGGAGACAGATAACAACACAATGGCCGAGGGCTGATTTATGGTAATGTGTCCACCTAACCATAGTGTTGGTCAGCGTCCAACTCAAGCCAAATTTGGAAGAAACAAACATATGCAGTTGGTATGTAAATACGACTGTGAATTAATCATCTTACCCCCATAAATAGTGAGCAGCCGAAGAGCCCTTTGAGCATTCCT